TTACCCTGAAACGAATTTCACTTCGATACAGTCACTTCTTTCCCTACAAACAGAGCTGGCAACTACAATTGAAGCAACCCCCCATGCAAACAGGAAATTACAAATCGCCTCCTCCCCCCTCGCACCTGCTCCTGGCACTCTGAAATACCTCTGTGCCCTACCCGGTCCGTTACAAGACCTGATCCCAGAGGATGTCACTCCGGAGAAGCTAGAGGCGGCCAGGCAGGCAGCGCCGCCGTCGTTCATCAAGCTGGACCACTACAACGCTCTGATGGAGCTGCTGGGAGGGCGGCGATTCGAACAGTACGAAGTGCAGGGATCGGGAACGGAGACCAAGGTGTATTCTAAGGTGACTCAAGCTTACCCGTGCGTTTTTCACCAGTCAGGGAATAAGCTGAAGAGAGGGGTGGTGAATGAGATAGTGGAGAATGGGACCCTGGATGCAATGGCATTTGAATGAGCTGCTGACTTGCAGTTGAATAGCTTCTGTGTTGCATGTGCTGTTACTAGCTGATTGTACATGCCTAAGTGTGGTCACCTTGCCCAGTACAATGTGTGCCTGAAACTGTTTGCTCTGAAAACTGATGGTGTTAGACCACACATGGTGTTCATGCTGAGGAGTGCAGCACCAGTGATTTTAGGCCAGAAAGCCGGAAGAGGGAGTCTGGGAGGCGGGAGGCAGGTGGTAAAGCCCTAGAGTTTTCAGGGGAGTGAGTTGGCCGATGGAGTCAGGGAGATGGGGGAGTGGCAGCGAGTGCAGCAACAGTTTCTGTATGCTTAGCCTCTCCCCTCCCTGCCTCTCCTTTCTCCCCTCCCTGCCCCTGATTTCGACCCCACAACGCGCAACCTCTCCCCTCTGTGCCCCTCGTTTCTCCCCGCAGTGTTCTCAGTTTCTTCCCTCCCTGCCCCCATTATTTCCCGGCAATGCCTTCCGTTTCTCCCCTCCCTGCCCTTTGGTTTCCTCTCGCTGCCCTCTCCTCTCCACCTCCTGCTGCCCTCTTACTACAATCAGAATCCCCGTTTCTCCCCACCCTCTCCTCCCTCCCCACTTCCCTGCTGCGTGCTTCCCCCACCCCAACCCTCCTCCCGCCCGTCCACACCTCCTTCCCGTTCTGCCCCCCTTGCCCCCTGTTCCACCTTGCTCCTCACCCCCACTGCTTCCCACACCACGGCCCTTGCCGCCCATCCGTGCCTCTGGTTTCTCCCCCCTGCTGCCTCCGTTTCGTCCCTTCCCTGATTTTTTGAGTCGACTCAAAACGAAGTGACTTTTGAGTTGACTCAAAACGAGGTGACTTTTGAGTCGACTCAAAAGTGCCTCTGGTTTCTCACCTCTGCTGCCTCCGTTTCGTATCTTCCCTGCTCTTTCCCCCCCTCCCCTCGACTGTCTCTTGCCTTGAAGTTCACCCCTTTGCTGCCTCCGTTTCGTCCCTTCTCTCTCTGCCCCTGCCCCCCCCCCCCCCCCCCCCCCCCCTCGACCCTCTCGTCACACTCTGCCCACCCCTTTTTCTTGCCCTCCGCTGGCCCAGCCGCAGCCCTTTGCTGGCCCTCCCTTTGCTCTCTCAATTCCCCTGCCCCACGTCACCGTACCTCCTTACATCCGCTCTTTGAGTCGACTCGAAAAGCTTTTCCGTCCCTCCCGCCCTCTCAACTCCCCTGCCCCTGTACACCGTGCCTCCTAACATCCGCTCCTACCACATGAAGTCAGGAAGGCACTTTTAAGAATACTCAAAAGTGACTCTCAAGGAGTCAGGGAGGTTGAGAGAGACAGCTTCTGTAGCACCAGCGACTTCAAAGACCCAAAATTTCGAATTATTCGGGACGCTCAAGGTTCTTTGGGGCGCTCGATGTTCAAACACCAGCGTGTTCAGGGGAGAAAGCCAAACACGGGAGCCAGGGAGGTCTGAGAGAGACAGCTTCCGCAGCATCAGCGTCTTCAAAACGATAATATTATCGAAACCCACGAAATGCGTAAAACGTCTGGGCAGGAAGAAACGGCCAGGCTCCCCAAAAGGCTTAGCTTGAGGGTCAAATGCACAGAAATCCCAGGCGTTCTGTCAGAATCTGGACGAAGGAATGAATGCATTGAGTAGGAAGTTGGTACAAGTACTAACCCTAATTGGGTTGTACCCCTTATGGGCTACCCCACTACAGCCTACACAACCTATACAATATAATAGTTTGACACACCCCCATAGGCAAAGTGGGGGAGAAGAAGAATTCACAAGACCAGTCAAGAAAAGCAAGGCAAGCTCAGGGTGGATCACAAAGTCACCACACATTCTGAGCATAACCAAATGGCCACAAGGCCAGTTCACATGCAGAGTTATATAAATGGGAACAAGGAGCACAATGATCACAACCTAAAATGTGTAAGCATGCATGATAAGTATATAGATCACAGTACAAGCAAAGTCACGCAGTGAGCAAGTGATGCAAAGTAGGCACAAGGCCTAAAATAGTACAGAAACGCTGGTGATCACCAGGCTGAAGTGCCTTGGTGAATATATCAACAGTGTTGGCCCGAGTGGCCACGTAAGGAAGATGAAGCTGACCACGCTGCTGCAACTCTTGAGCAAGGAAGTAACGCAGAGCGATGTGCTTCGTCCTGTGCTCAGTCTGTGCTCCTAACACAAGGCAATCATGGCCTTGTTGTCTACGTACAGATTTGGAGAAGAACTAGGCCGCTCTCCCAAGTCGGTCAGCAGGTTGGTGAGCTAGCTTAACTCCTGTGCAGCCATGGCCCCTGCGTAGATCTCAGACTCACAACTGGAACTGAGAACAGAAGTTGAGCGGGTAGACCGTCAAGAAAATGAACCGGAACCAAGGTTGAAGGTGTAACCCTGTGACGACCGCTGCGTAGCCAAGTCGTCAACCTAAGACGCGTCTGTGTGGCCAGTAAGAACAACTCGACCCCGTCCTCCAAGCACGAGCCCCATGCCCGATGTACTGCACAAGTAGCGCAACACCCTCTTAGCGACCTCCTAGTGCACTGGTCGATGTCTCCCAGGCGCAACGTAGTGTGCCAGAATGCTAAGAGGGTAGGCAAGGTCAGGTCGAGTGCGGGTCATCAGGTACATGAGGCAGCCCACAAGCTTTGGATACGAGCCACTCGGCTCTACCGACTTGTCCGAAGGTGGAGCTGAGAGCGAGTGACCGGTAGGCAGAGGAGTGGACTGTGGCGAGGAGTACTGGAAGCGGAAGGGCTGAAGGACCTGCTGCACCATGTGTGACTGAGTTAAGGTGATGGTGCGCCGTGCTCTGTCCCGGATGATCTGCAAGCCAAGATAGCTGCGCAGCTCACCCAAGTCTATGCATGTGTGTCTCTTCTGCAGCTCCGACTTCACTAGGGCCAGTGCCTCAGAGTCAGTAGTGGCTAAAACCAAGTCGTCGGCATACACGAGGATGTAGAACTGTGGCAGCGAAGTGTCGGTACGCAGAAACAGCGAAGTGTTGGTACGCAGAAACAGCGACGGGTCAGCGGTCGAAGGAGCAAACCCAAGAGCTGCAAGCGTCGTCTTCAGTGTGTCGTGCCACTCGCGAGGCGCGTGGTGGAGACTGCAGACTGGTCGCCGGAGGCTCCACTGGGTACCAGGAGGAAACTGTCACAGGATCGAATTCTCAATCGAAACTTGTCACAAAAACTGAATACAAGGCATTTTTATACTCGGAAAATACAAGGATAAACTGTCAGATTTATATGACATAGTTGCTGTAGGCTATAGTGGGGTAGCACACATGGGGTACAGGGTTTCTAGGGTTGTATTTGTACCCAATCTTTCCTTAGTCATTCTCATTCCTGTTTTCCTTGCTTCACATGGTATAGAGCGGGTCCTGCCTTAGGACCGTTTTTAGGGCCCACCGAAGCGCGCCCCGAGGCGCGCCCCTTTTTTTTTTAGCGATCCCTCGGGTCGCCTTTTCACTCGCGGCCCCGCCGCCTCCCCTGACGCGGCTCCGCCGCCTCCCCTGACGCGGCCCCGCCGCCTCCCTTGACGCGGCCCCGCCGCCTCCCTTGACGCGGCCCCGCCGCCTCCCTTGACGCGGCCCCGCCGCCTCCCTTGACGTGGCCCCGCCACCTCCCCTGACGCGGCCCCGCCGCCTCCCCTGACGCGGCCCCGCCGCCTCCCTTGACGCGGCCCCGCCACCTCCCCTGACGCGGCCCCGCCGCCTCCCCTGACGCGGCCCCGCCGCCTCCCTTGACGCGGCCCCGCCGCCTCCCTTGACGCGGCCCCGCCGCCTCCCTTGACGCGGCCCCGCCACCTCCCCTGACGCGGCCCCGCCGCCTCCCCTGACGCGGCTCCGCCGCCTCCCTTGACGCGGCCCCGCCGCCTCCCTTGACGCGGCCCCGCCGCCTCCCCTGACGCGGCCCCGCCGCCTCCCCTGACGCGGCTCCGCCGCTTCCCCTGACGCGGCCCCGCCGCCTCCCTTGACGCGGCCCCGCCGCCTCCCCTGACGCGGCCACGCCGCCTCCCCTGACGCGGCCCCGCCTCTACTGCCGACGGCCCCGCCGCTGCACTCTACGGCCCGCCGCTGCACCCTGCCGGCCCGCCGCTGCTCCTGCCGGCCCGCCGCTGCACCTGCCGGCCCGCCGCTGCATCCATCGGCCCGCCGCCTCTGACGGCCTCGCCGCTGCACCCTACGGCCCGCCGCTTGCACCTGCCGGCCCGCCGCTGCACCTGTCGGCCCGACGCTGCACCTAACGGCCCCGCCCCTGCATCTCCCGGCCGAGCCGGCCCAGCAGCCGAGCCGCCCGGGACCCGAGCCGCCCTGCCGCCGAGCCGCCCGGGAGCCGAGCCGCCCTGCACCCGAGCCGCCCAGCCGCCGAGCCGCCCGGGAGCCGAGCCGCCCTGCGCCCGAGCCGCCCAGCCGCCGAGCCGCCCGGGAGCCGAGCAGCTGTGCACCCGAGCCGCCCGGTCGCTGAGCCGCCTTTCTGCATAGCTGCACGACCTGCCCTGCCTGGTGAGCACATTCCCTACTGCTTGCACTGCGTCGCTGTCGTCGCCATGGCTACCCCTAGTGTCCTAGCTTTTGACGCTGAGGGTCGCGCCATTGACTTTGAGGTCTGGTTAGACGACCTGCAGCTGTTCTTACAGTGCGACAGGGCTGACGACCTTTCTCTCTTTGAACTCACCTCTGGCGCCTCTCCTGCTCCTGCTGCTGATGCTGATCCCGCTGTCCGCTCTAAGTGGGCCACCCGCGATGCTGCTGCACGTCTTGCTGTGCGTCGCCACCTCCCTACCTCTGAGCGTGCGCACTTTAGTCAGTACAAGAGTGCTCAGACCTTGTACGACGCTGTAGTTGCGCGCTACTCCTCCCCTGCCACAGCTGCACTGAGCCGTCTCATGCTTCCCTACCTCTTTCCTGACCTCTCTGCCTTTCCCACTGTCGCTGACCTCATTACGCACCTCCGCACTAGTGACACTCGCTACCGCGCCGCCCTTCCTGCTGAGTTCTGCGCTAAGAACCCCCCCCCCCCCATGTACATCGCTCTCTACTACGTAGTCGCGCGCCTCCCTGACTCCCTTCGAGTCGTCAGGGACCACTTTCTCGCAGTCTGTCCCACCACCCTCACCGTCGACCTCCTCGAGAAGGCCCTCCTCGCAGCGGAGAAGAGCATAGTCGCTGTAGGTGCTTCTCGTGGTGACCCTCGCACCCCCATCTTTGAGGGGTGCTCTCCTTCCCCCTTGCTGCCCTCTGTTGCCTCTGCTGCTGCTGCCGACCTGCTTGGTCTTGAGTCGGTCGGCGCGGCGTCCGCCCCTAGTGGGAGACGTCGCTCCAGCAAGGGCAAGGGGGGCAAGGGCGCGGGTGGAGCTGGAGGGGGCGGTGGCGGTGGCGGCGGTGGCGGCGGAGGGAGTGGGGGTGGCGGCGGGACTAGTGGAGGGGGTGGTGGTGGTGGTGGCAGCAGCGGCGGAGACGGTGGTGGTGGTGCCAGCGGTGGTGGTGGAGGCAGCGGCGGAGGTGGAGGCAGCGGAGGTGGAGGCGGTGGAGGCGGCAGCAGAGGAGGCAGTGGTGGTGGAGGGGGTGGAGCTAGTCGGGGTGGTACCCAGCAGCGTAGCGGCGGTGGTGGTGGCCAGCGCTCGCAGCGGCAGCAGCAGGAGCGCTCTCGGGACATCCCTTCGCCTCAGCAGCTTCGTGAGTGGTACGCTGGGCGTCAGAGGGGTGGGGGTACTGGTCCCTGCACCTACGTTCTTCGTTCCGGCGACCGCGCGGGTGAGCAGTGTGGGGGTGCCCACGCCACCCAGCGCTGCTTTGGCTGCCTGACGGACGCCTGGCGTCAGCAGTTCCCTGGGGCTAGTGAGATCCCTCGCTGGGATGAGCTTCTCAGGGCTGGTGTAGCGATCTTTGATCTTGACTTTGATGCTATCCTTACTGCTATGTATGTTGTGGATTATAGTGAGGAGAATGAGGGTTACCGCTGTTTCCAGCCCGACCCGGGCATTGGTACTGCTGCGCTAGGTGCTTGTGAGGCTGCTGCTCTAGGTGCCAGTGCGTCTGCGCTCTCAGGTACTGGTGAGACTGCGCTCTCAGGTACTGAGTCGTCCTCGTCCTCCCTCACTTTCACACTTGACTCCGAAGCTTCTCGCTCCTTCTTTCGAGACCGCACTACCCTTACGCCGCTCGGCCGGCCGGTTGCAGTCTCCCTTGCTGACCCCTCTGGGGGTCCTGTCCTGTCTCACTTCTCCACTGTCCTCCCGTGTCCGGCTGCCCCTTCGGGCACCCTGTCTGGTCTGTACCTTCCCTCGTTCTCTACGAACTTGGTGAGTGGAGCGGACCTGCAGGATGTGGGTGTTCACCAGTTCACTCCTGCGAGTCAGCGGGTGACCCACTGCACGGAGGCACGCACAGGCCGACACCTGGCCACGTTCTCGCGTCGGCCGGGGTCGAGTCTCTACACCCTGACCGTTGAGTCTCCTCCTGTCCCTGCGTCTGGTCAGGTGGCTGCGTCGGGTCAGGTACTTGCTGCTGCGTCCCGGTCAGGTCCTGAGTCTGCCCCCTGTTCTTGTCGCCTCCTGTCTCACGAGACTCTCCTGTGGCACCACCGTCTTGGCCACCCCTCCTTGCCCCGTCTTCGGAGCATGGCTTCCCGTGTCCTCGTCTCTGGTCTTCCCCAGTCTCTCCCTCCTCTCCCCTCCGGGCCAGGACCTTCCTGTGTCCCCTGTGTCGAGGGTCGCCTCCGGGCTACTCCTCACTCCTCCCACTTCCCCCCGACAGAGGCTCCCCTGCAGACGCTTCACATGGATGTGTGGGGCCCAGCCACCGTCCGTGGGCAGGGTTACGAGCGCTACTTCCTGTTGGTGGTTGACGACTACTCGCGTTACACCACAGTCCTCCCCTTGCGCAGCAAGGGTGCGGTCACTGAGGTGCTGATCGACTGGATCCGCGAGGCTCGTCTCCAGCTCAGGCAGAGCTTCGGCTCGGACTTTCCTGTTCTGCGTCTGCACTCTGACAGAGGCGGAGAGTTCTCTTCTCGCCTTCTGCGGGACTACTGTCGTGCACGGGGGATCCGCCAGACCTTCACGCTTCCGGACTCACCACAGCAAAATGGGATTGCTGAGCGCCGCATTGGCATGGTCATGGATGTCGCTCGTACGTCCATGATGCATGCGGCTGCCCCTCATTTTCTGTGGCCGTTTGCGGTGAGGTACGCGGCGCATCAGCTCAACCTTCACCCCCGGGTCTCTCGGCCTGCGATGTCCCCAGCCTTGCTGTGGACGGGGAAGGTTGGGGATGCGTCTGTGTTCCGTGTCTGGGGATCTCGGGCGTTTGTCCGCGACTTGTCTGCGGACAAGCTGTCCCCTCGTGCTGCTCCCTGTGTCTTCCTTGGCTTCCCCACTGACGCCCCAGGGTGGCAGTTTTACCACCCCTCCTCTCGTCGTGTTCTGTCCTCCCAGGACGTCACGTTCGACGAGTCAGTCCCCTTCTACCGTCTCTTCCCCTACCGCACTCCTTCCCTCCCCCCTCCCCCGGACTTCCTTGTGCCGGTTCCCCCCCCGGTAGACCCCCTCCCCCCTCAGGTTCCTGCCCCCTCAGGTGTGTCCCAGGTAGACGCCGTTGACCCGGTCGAGGTTACTGGTGACTCTGGTGCTGCTGCGGGTGCTGAGCCTGGGGGTGCTGCCTCTGGGGGTGCTGTGCGCGGGGGTGCTGAGCCTGGGGGTGCTGGGCCTGGGGGTGCTACTGCGGAGGGTGCGGAGCCTGGGGGTGCTGAGCCGGGGGGTGCTGTGCCTGGAGGTGCTGGGTCTAGGGGTGGTGGGTCGGGAGCTGCTGAGCCTCGGGGTACTGAGCTGGGAGCTGCTGAGCCTGGGGGTGCTGCGTCTGGAGCTGCTGAGCCTGGGGTTTCTCCTGCTGCTGCGTCTCGCCGGGAGCCCCTCCCTCCATAGGAGCTGCGCGAGTGGTTTGCTCGCCGCTGGAGGCGTGCTGCTGGAGCTGGAGCTGGAGCTTCTTCGACCGTCGAGGGTGCGAGTGCTGCCGGTCCCGGAGCTGCTGGACCTGTGGGTCCTCTTGGAGCTGGAGCTGCTGAGGGCGTCGGTGCTGAGCCTACTACTGTTGGTCCTGCCGCTGGAGGTGTGGGTGGCGCTGGTGCTGTCGCTGAGGGTGCTGGTGCTGTCCCTGCTGAGTCTGGAGCTGCCGCGCGGCCTCGGCCGTACTTCGTTCCGCTCCTGCAGCAGGTTCTTGGTCTTTCTCCTCCACTAGAGGGTCCACCGCCTGTCCAGTCGCAGTCTCTGCTGGAGCCTTCCTCTATGCCTGCTCCCTCTCCTTACACTGGTCCTACTGGAGGTCTTGCTGAGCGTCGTGAGCCTGCGTCTCGTCCCGCGTCGCCTGTTCGTGCTGCTCGCGCTAGTGGTCGCAGTTCGCGTCAGCGTCCTCCTCCTGTCCCTGGCACGCACCGGATGTCTTTGCGTCCGTCCACTGCTCCTCTGCGTGCCCCTTTGCCTTCTCCTCCTGAGTCCTCTCTTCCTGCGCTTGCCGACCCTGAGTCGGACTCTCTTCGTGCTGCCTGTCCTACTGTCACGCGTCTGCTTGCTACTGTCGTCACTGACCCCTCTTTTGAGTCCACTGCTGCGTCTGCTCTAGTCGCTGAGCTCGTCGACTTTGCTGCTCGCTGTCGTCTCGACTACGCTGCCAGTCTTGTTGCTGAGTCTGCGTCTGTCTGTCCTCCGTCCGTCAGGGGTGAGTGTGCTCTTGGCACGGACGTCCTAGAGGACAGGCAGGAGGAGCTACAGTGTCTTGCGGCTGCTTCACCTCATCTCGCGTCTGTACTACTTGCCCCTGAGGGAGACCCGGATGCACTAGACATCCCGACTCCGCGTTCTTACGCGGAGGCCGTAGAGGGTCCCTACTCCTCTCAGTGGCAGGCAGCTATGGATGCAGAGATGGCTTCCTGGAAGTCCACGGGCACCTACGTTGACGCGGTTCCCCCTCCTGGGACGAACATCGTCAGTGGCATGTGGATCTTCAGGGTGAAGCGGCCGCCGGGCTCTCCACCTGTCTTCAAGGCACGGTACGTTGCTCGTGGCTTCAGACAGCGGCAGGGAGTTGACTACTTTCAGACTTTCTCTCCCACCCCGAAGATGACTACTCTTCGGGTTCTGCTGCACATAGCCGCTCAGCGCGACTACGAGCTTCACTCTCTCGACTTCAGTACTGCGTTCTTGCAGGGTAGCCTGCACGAGGAGATCTGGCTTCGCCGTCCACCTGGCTTCACTGGGACTTTCCCTCCTGGCACCCAGTGGAGCCTCCGACGGCCAGTCTACGGTCTCCGCCAGGCACCGCGTGAGTGGCACGACACACTGAGGACTACGCTTGCGGCTCTTGGGTTTGCTCCTTCTACTGCTGACCCGTCGCTGTTTCTTCGCACCGACACTTCCCTGCCGCCGTTCTACATCCTCGTGTACGTCGACGACTTGGTCTTTGCCACAGCGGACACTGCTGGACTCGCCTACGTGAAGTCTGAGCTGCTGAAGAGACACACGTGCACAGACCTGGGTGAACTGCGCAGCTACCTTGGCTTGCAGATCACTCGGGACAGAGCACGCCGCACCATTACCTTGACTCAGTCACACATGGTGCAGCAGGTCCTTCAGCGCTTCGGCTTCACGTACTCCTCGCCTCAGGCCACTCCTCTGCCTACTCGCCACTCACTCTCAGCTCTGCCTTCGGATGAGTCCGTAGAGTCGAGTGGTCCGTATGCAGAGCTTGTTGGCTGCCTCATGTACCTGATGACCTGCACACGACCTGACCTTGCATACCCTCTGAGCATTCTTGCACGCTATGTTGCTCCTGGGAGACACCGACCAGAGCACATGGCTGCAGCGAAGAGGGTATTGCGCTACCTGTGCAGTACGTCGGGCATGGGGCTAGTGCTTGGAGGGCGGAGTCCAGTGGTCCTTACCGGCCACGCGGACGCTTCTTGGGCTGACGACCAGGCTACGCAGCGGTCGTCACAGGGTTACACCTTCAGCCTTGGTTCCGGCTCTGTCTCGTGGCGGTCTACTCGCTCGTCTTCGGTTCTCGGCTCCAGTTGTGAGGCTGAGATCTACGCCGGGGCCATGGCTGCACAGGAGCTTCGCTGGCTCACCTACCTGCTGACTGACCTTGGAGAGCCGCCTCGTTCTCCTCCAGTGCTGTACGTAGACAACATGGCCATGCTGGCCTTGTGTTGAGAGCAGCGCTTGGAGCACAGAACGAAGCACATTGCTCTCCGCTACTTCCTTGCTCGTGAGCTGCAGCAGCGTGGTCAGTTGCGACTTGCGTACGTGGCCTCTGAGGCCAACACTGCTGATGTGTTCACCAAGGCACTCGCGCCTTGTGACCATCAGCGCTTTTGCACCCAGCTGGGTCTTGTGCCTGTCTTGCCTCACTTGCTCTCCTCTTGACTTCACTTGTACTGTGACATATATATATGCCTGCTCTTGCTTGTCTAGTTTTATATATATGTCTGTACTCCTACATGTGAACTGGCCTCTGGCCCTACTCTTGTGCTCGGACTTTGTGGTGACTTTGTGATCCACCCTGAGCTTGCTTTACTTTGCTTGACTGGTCTTGTGACCCCTTGTTCTCCCCCACTTTGCCTATGGGGGTGTGTCAGATTTATATGACATAGTTGCTGTAGGCTATAGTGGGGTAGCACACATGGGGTACAGGGTTTCTAGGGTTGTATTTGTACCCAATCTTTCCTTAGTCATTCTCATTCCTGTTTTCCTTGCTTCACATAAACGAGATAAAACGAACCTTCGGGAACACGCCCTTCCCGATACTACAATCACAAGTGCGCACAAGCACGCAAGGCTATTGGCACTTGGGATTACGCCCAGATTACACCGTATACACCACTGTCGGCGCTGTCGGTGCCGTATAATAGGTATGTCGGTGGGAAAAGTAGGAAATAAGAGAAATAAATAGAAGGCTCTAGAAAATAGAATAGTAGGCCGATTGAGATGAGATAAAGACCAAAATAAAGAGGAGAAAAGGGAGAATAGGATAACGGAAAAATATAATAGTGAGAAAATATTATAACAGGGACGTCCTCTCACACTTCCCCCCCTCAAAGCTGGGTGGTAGAAGTAACACCCTGCGTGGCAAGATAGTCATGGAGAGGACGGCGGGCGTTATCCATGTCGTGTTCAGGTACCCAGGTATCCTCGGAAGGATCATAGCCTTTCCAACGAATCAAGAGCTCCAAGGTGCCGCTACGTCGTCGTCGGTGCGCCAGAACTGCTCCGACTTCGTACTCGGGTTCCCCATTAACGATCACTGGCAGTGGCGGCGGTGGCTGGCGACCTTTGAAGACCATGTTTGGGTCCCGATAGGGCCTGAGAAGTTGAACATGGAAGGCATTGTGAATTCTCCAGGTAGCTGGTAAACGCAAGCGGAAGGTTACTGGAGTGACCTGCGCCTCGACGAGAAAAGGTCCGCAGAAGCGAGGTCGGAGCTTAGACGGAAGATGGCTAATGTCGAGATTGCGTGTATCCAGAAGCACTCGATCGCCAATCTTGATGGAATGATCGTTGCGACTCCGATCAGCGAGCTTCTTTTGTTGCTGCTGGATAGACCGAAGACGTTTATGCGTGCGCTCCCACAATTGGTGCATTGTGGTAATGAAGTCAAGTGCGGGTTGCACCGTGGCGGGTACTGTTGGTTTCTGAGGCGTGAATGGGTTGCGACCGTAACAGAGGAAGAAAGGAGTTTGCCCTGTTGCGGCGTGCGTGTCGTTGTTATACGCAAACTCGAGAACCGGCAGGTGTGCATCCCATTTAGAGATATCGTCCTTACACGCTGCTTGCAGAAGCTGTTCGACAATCTGGTTGAGGCGCTCTGTCTGACCATCCGTTTGGGGATGATAGGCTGATGACATGGTGAGTTTGGTCCCCATGAGTGACATGAGCTCCTTCCATAATTTACTCGTGAATTTCGGGTCTTTGTCGGAGATCAGCGTGGTTGGAATGCCATGTTGCGAGATGACGTAGCGGAAGAATATTTGCGCTGTCTCCTCGGTGCGAGCCGTTGTGTGTGTCGGAATGAAGTGTCCCATTTTGGAGAATTTGTCGATGATGACTAGAATGGCATCGTAACCAGCTTTGGTAGGTGGTAACCCGGTGATGAAGTCAAGGCTAACCACTTGCCAAGGCTGTTCAGGGACTGGAAGAGGCTGTAGTAACCCTGCTTTCTTTTGTTTGCTGCTCTTCATCCGTTGGCATGTGTCGCACGAGGTGACAAATTTTTGTACGTCATCCGCCATGTGGGGCCAATAATAATGCTTCGCAATACCGGCAAGCGTCTTGTTACTACCGAAGTGGCCCGCGTAGAGAACATCATGATATTCTTCGAGCAGTAACTGGCGTAAAGGAGGGTAATTAGGTACCCATATTTTTGTGGATCCCTTGCGGTATGCGATGTCTTGATCCCAATGTAGAAGATGGCGCTTTTCTGCTATAGAGACTTCGGGGTCGATGGTGTATCCATGTGTGAAGAGTCCCTTCAAAAGTGGGTTCATGCCATCGACTTGTAGGGCGGCAACGTGTGCAGGGCGACTGAGTGCGTCTGCCTTGTTCTTGTGCCCCGGCTTATACACGATGCCGTAATGGACCTGGGTTTCGAGAAAGTCAATCCACCGGACCTGCCGCCTGGAGAGTGTTGGTTGGGTCTTCAGATTCTTGAGGCTGCAGTGGTCGGTGTAGACGGTCGTTTTTCTTCCTTCGAGATAACACCTCCATGCCTTAAATGCGTTGACGATGGCGAGGGCCTCTTTGTCATGGATGGGGTAATTAAGTTCTGCCCCGTGAAGTTTTTTACTGAAGTATGCAATGGGTTGCAGTCCCTTCCCTTGATCCTGCATGAGTACTGCGCCCACTGCTTGATCGCTAGCATCGGCCTCGATGACATAGTCAAGTTCAGGGTCTGGCAGGATAAGGACAGGTGCTGACGTGAGTGCGGTTTTAAGTTGTTCCACGGCTTCCTGGTGCTTCGCCTCCCATTGATATGGTGTATTCTTCTTCAACAGGTTCGCTAATGGTGCGGCAATCTTGGCGTAGTTCGGTACGAACCGGCTGTAGTAGTTGGTGAATCCAAGGAACTGTTGTAACTCCTTCACGTTCTCAGGGGTCTTCCACGTTCGCACTGCTTCGATCTTCTTAGGATCCACGTGAACTCCTTGAGCGCTCACCATATGTCCAAGGAACTGGACTTTTTCCAACGCAAACTCGCTCTTGAATAGTTTCACGTAGAAGCGTTCTCGTTGAAGAATTTCAAACACCCGTCGAAGATGCTCAACGTGCTTCTTCATGTCTTTCGAGTAGATCAGGATATCGTCCAAATATACCACCACGCACTCGTCCAGAAGGGGCCGAAGGATGTGGTTCATTTCCGCCTGAAATGTGGCTGGTGCGTTAGTGAGTCCGAACGGCATCACGAGATACTCGTATGACCCATACCGAGTTCGAAAGGCAGTTTTGTGGATAGAGTTTTCCGCCATACGAATTTGCCAGTATCCCGATCTGAGGTCAAGCTTGGAGAATACCGTAGCACCGCGAAGTTGATCGAGTAAGTCGTGGATCCGTGGTATCGGGTATTTATTTTTTACAGTCTGCTTGTTCAAGGCTCGGTAGTCGATGCACATTCGCAGACTTCCGTTTGGCTTCAGAGTGAAGAGAACTGGAGCTCCGTACGGCGAAGTCGAAGGTCGAATCAGCCCTTTCTCCAGGAGATACTCTATTTGTTTTTTCATATCGGCAAGCTCTGTCGGGCTCAGCCGGTATGGTGCTCGGAACTTTGGCTTGGACCCCGGCTCTTCTACGATCTCGTGTTGATGTGTTCGGCATGGCGTTGACTATCGCCATGACTCCCGTCGTGGTCCGTTTGACGTCCTTTTCAAAGCGTGCGAGTGTCTCGACTGGAATATTTTCCGTGTCGTCCCATTTGGGAAGGCTGATTTTCCTCCCGTTGTTGTTGATGTTGGCCGTCCGGTTAACCTAGTTGATCTCGGGGTTGAACTTCTTAAGAAAGTCTCTCCCGAAGATTACGTCGAGTCCTTTGATATTTGTGACGGGGAAAGCAAGCTTCCACCGGAGGGGTCCAATCTGGAGTAGTAACCGTGTTTCCCCGTGGATAGGTAGCTTACTGCCATCCACCATCGTTGCAGAGAAGCTTGAGGACTTGATTTCACCTCCGAGTCGATCGATTGCCTTTTTGTCATAGACGCTGTGCGGCGCCCCGCTGTCCACGAGTGCTTGGAGGCGCTCTCCGTTGCAGATCACCTCGAGCAGGAGTGGTGAGCGTTGC